CACACACACACACAAAGTATTGCATGCATGCCATATACTCTCGGGTTTAGAGAGAGGAGTCAGTCTACTGAGTTCATGAGATTACTGTCGGAAAGGTATCAAGCGCCCAGTGAGGTGCTTCTCACTGTCCCGTGCCCTCCTTCGGCTCTGAAGAACTAACTTACCTGGATCTTGTATGTGGAAGATAGATTTTTTGTATGGAGATTTGTTCTCTCCCCCCCCCCCCCCCCCGAGCCATTTTCATAGGCAGTCCCAGATCCGGACTGTGTCCTCAATCCCGGGGGAGGTGACGGTGCAGCAGGTGGAAGGGAGCACTCCGGAAGTCTCAGAGGCTCCCAGCAAGCCCTCCCTCGTGCATCGTCATCCTCAGATCAGCTTCCTTGGTGGTTCGCATCTGTTGGAGCCAGCGTAGATTGCTAGGGGCTTTATTTTAAAAACTGCCTCTGCCTTAAAAAATACATTATTTTTCTCAAAAGCTTATTCCTTAATGTTGTTTTTATAAAAACATAGAGTGGAGAGTTGGAGGGATGTCTCCCAAATACTTTGTGAACTTTGAGTGGACATGGGTTTGATTTCCGTCACCCATGTAGTGGCTCATAGCCTCCTGTAACCCCAGTTCCAGGAGATCTGACACCTTCATCTGGCCTCCTTGGGGCCCAGGCACACATGTGGGCAAATACTCATACACATAAAATAGAAGCAAATAAGGCTTAAGGATGTAGATATTAAACTGTGGCTTAGACATTTTAACCTTTCGTTTATCATTGTTACTGGGGTCTTATTAAAACTGAGATCTTGGCTGGGCATAATGGGTGCACACCTTCAATCCCAGCGCTGGGAAGGCAGAGGAGGAGGATCTTTGTGAGGTGCAGGTTAGTCTGGTCTAACCTGGCAAGCTGCAAGACAGCTGGGACTACTTAGAGAGACCCTGTCGAGAAAAAAAGAACAACAGCAAAACACTGAAATCTTTAGAACAAAAACTAGACACTCCAAGGACCGTGTGTCTGTGTGTGTGTGTGTGTGTGTGCTCACGTTACTAGTGTGAACTTATGAGAGCTCTGCAGAGAGCTCTTAGATGCACTTAAGTGTAACTGTTAGTGCCCTCTAATTACTCATTTGTGTAGAATTCTCTAGAAATACAAGTAGACTGATTTTTTTTTAATGTTTTGTCTGCAAGTGTGCCTGTGCACAATGTGTGTCGTGCCAGAAGCCAGGAGAGGATCCCCCAGAGCTGGAGTTACAGGTGGTTGTTCGCCACCATGTGAGATTGTGTCTTTTTAAAAACTTTGAGCACTTCACACATGATAACGGCATCTATGGGTTTTCCACCTCTCCCTGCACCTCGATTGTTTCTTTTTTAAAGGCCTGACAGTGTTTAAAGAAGCAGAAGAAAAAAAAAAAAACGGAAGCAGAGATTCTGTAGTTCAGTAGTTCAGATATTACTTGTTCAGTTTAATTCTATCATCAACACTGTAATTTGGATTTTATTATTGTATTTTTCTGCCCTTGCAAAAAAAAAAAAAAAAGTTGGGGGCACGAGAAGATTCTGTATTTGCTTATAACAAACACAATCATAAATGACTAATTTATCTCATCAGGAAATAACACCTTTCTTTAGCCCTGGCGACCTTTTATCAGCGGTTCTCAACCTTACTAAAGCCGTGACTTTTTAATACAACTCCTCAACCATAAAATTATTTTCATTGCTACTTCATAACTGTAATTTTGCTGCTGTTATGAACCATAACGTAAATGTCTGAGATGCAGGACATGCGACCCCTGTGAAAGGGCTATCTGACCCCTTGGTTAAGAACCACTGCCTTAGATTCTGCTTTTATTCCATTTGAGTTAGGATTGCACTTAGTTTAGGCTTTTCTCTGGGTGTCATAGCCTGCGTTACTGTACCTGATTCCCTCCTAGGTGTACGTTGGTTGTGTTTGGAGTCTGGCTCCTGTACAACCTCAAGTTCAGTCACAGTGTTGAAGAATGTGACATGAAAAGAGTGGACTACGTGGACATAAAGGTAAGCTACCGCGTGTGGTTTAAACCCAGCGTTTCCAAACAACACCGCCGCCAGCCCACCTCTACTGTGGGACATAGGCCTGCTAGTGAAAATCTGAACAAGGAATGTTCTAGTTTCATATCTGTTTCTGTGATAAAAATAACCTGACCGAAAACAGTTAAGAGTAGAAAAGCTTTATTTCAGTTTCCAGGTTACAGTCCCTTCCAGGGGCGTCGAGGCAGGGACTCTTAAGGTAGACCTGGTTGCTATTCCATGCGGAATTACCTTCTAACCAGGGAACTCACTCCCAGCCAAGACCACTATCAGAAGCCATGAAGGAGCACTGCCTGCTAGCTTGCCCAGGCTCATACTCAACTAATTTCCTCACGCAGACCAGGACCACCTGCCCAGGGAATGGTACTTCCCACAGTGGGCTGGGCCCTCCCACGTCAATTAACAATCAAGACAGGTCCTGTAGACACGCTCCTAGGCTAGTCCCATCTGGCAGTCCCTCAGCTGAGACAGCATTCTCAGTTGACTAGGCCGTGTCCAGTCGACAGTTAAAGCTGACCAGGTCAAAGGAAAAGCCAGTCTCACCTACCCAGGAGTTCATCTGTCGCAATGCTGCCTGTCGTCCTTCTGGCACAGCTGATGACACCATTCTGTTGCTGTGCTGTGTCCTCCTGGGCTTCAGTTTTTGGGGGGCGGGGTCTCTGCAAACAGCACAGCCGGTGGAGCAGAGATCCGAGGCAGGCACGAAGGAAGTCCAGTTCAGCATGACTCAGCGGCTGGTGCTGGTTCAGACTTCTGGAGTCTGACACCACACAGTTTACTGTAGTCATATTTAAGTATGGTACAATCTGAAAAAAAGGTTTCTGGTGTAGCACAATCCCATGTACATAGGAGGTATCGTTACATGCAAACTCTCCTCAAGGTACATGTCACTTCTTCCATGAAGAAGGTCTCTAAAGACAGTTTACATGCCTTGTCTCAAGTGCCCGAGGAAGGATCAGGTACGGTCTTGGTCATTCAGATAGTGCATAGGTCATCCGGGTTATTAGCCACCTTTGGTCCTGGTTGGAGGAGTTTGGGGGTCCTCTGGCCATACTAATAGTGCATCACCTAAGCTATTAGTACCTCCATTCCCAGCCTTCTGAACAGAACACAGTTAAACATCTCTTCTGTCGAAGAGACAGCATGGCGTGTTTAGCATTCCTGGTTTCCCTAGTGCTATCTGTGAGCACAAGGACAGGTTTTAAAGACTTTCACATAGTATTTCAGTTTTTCTTTAAATTTTTATTGATGTTTCTAAGTGGTTTGATACATGAAATACAAAGTTCACTGGTAAACTGAGTGGTTAAATTCGGCAGAAGTGTTCAGCCCAAGGTCAAAGACGAGGTGATTGAAAACCAGGTGGTGTGGCGGGAGTGAGCTCCAATAGGAACAGGTGTTACATGTAGTGTGACTCACTGTGCCATTGTCCTGCCTCATCCAGCATGATGTCTCCACAGACGGTGGCCTGAAGGCTTGACCCGCTTGCCCGTGTTCACGTCTAACGTAGGACGCTAGAGCAGTTAGTCTCGGTCAGTGCTTTGGTGTGTGCCCGGATTCATACAGCCAACCCAGTGAGCCTCGAGATCACTCTGGATATGTAGTGTGTCACCTCCCTTTGTCACAGCTGAGATGGCCGGGGTTTGCGGATAAAGCGGTCAGGCCAGGGTCCTGACCACTCTGTGGTTGCAGTGCCTAGAAGGCAGAGGCAAGAAGACTGCTTCGAGTTCAAGGCCTTGTCTCACCAGACCAAACCAAACCAAATCCAATGGTACTGGACCCTTTGGGCCTAAGTTTTTCCAGTTGGGAAATGTCGGGGGCAGTGTGGTGTGTATCTGTGTAGAAGCTTCCCTTTTTTTTTTTTTATTTGGATTCGCCCGTTTCTACTTTTAGTCTGTTCTTCAGGTGCTCCAGTTTTTTGTGTCCAGACAGTTCAATAAGCCCGAGGAGCATAACCCTGTTTAGTCACGGGTTTTTGTCTTCCTGCCGTCCCCCGTCCCCCGATGTTTGCTGCCTCCTGTTTCATCAGTGTTCCATATCCGCATTGGAGCCAGTGTCCTCTGCTTGAAGCTCCATCCTCTGCCAATCTGTCCGGCCTTGCAGACATTCCCTGAAGCCCGTTCAGTTCCAAGGCTTTTCACAGTGCTCTTGGACCAGGGTTTCTAACATCCTGTCTGTTTTCTGTCTACTGTGAAAGGCATAAAATGGCATTTGGTGGGGTTTACTGGATCTGAATCTTTGCTGAGCTTCCCCACTTTCTCATGCACCTTATTTTCCTGTCCTTTGAATCATGTGACTGTCTGCCTGCCAGTTGATGACTCTGGAGTCCAAGTAGTAGAGGAGAGACTGGTCTCTCACGTGAGGCTGAACACGCTGCGGGCACAGGGTAGATGCTTTCTCATAGCACTGTGCGGAGTACGCTTGTCATCCCCCGTCTCCAAACTACAGGGTCTACAAGGATGCTCTGCTTGCTTTTTTAGAGGTCAGACAGTTATACATATGTGCATTTATGTGTGTGCACACCATGCCTGGTTTTCCCATGGGTCTTAGACTTGTGCAGCAAGCACTTTGACCCTCAGCCATCACCCCTGCTCCTGCTCTGATTATTGTAACTATTGCTCTTTTTTGAGATTTTTTTTAAAAAAAATTATGTATATAGATGTTTTGCTTGCATATATGCCTTATATCTCAAGTGTGCAGTGCCCACAGAGACCAGAAAAGGGCATTGGATCCCTAGAACTAGAATTACAGATGGTTGTGAATCTTGGGAATCAAACCAGGGCCTCTGGAAGAACAGTGCCAGCCCCATAATCATTGTAGCTTTTGCTCATTAAAGTTCTTCTGGGCCCTAATGGCTCTTGATAGAGACCAAAAGAAGACTCAGGACTGCATCTCTGAGACACCACCAAAAGGGAGGGAGCACTGGCCTAGACTGAAAGATCTGATTTGGGGCAAATGATGAGACCTGCCTATGTGGCCTTAATAATGGAAAGATGTACTGGACCAGTAACCAGACTGCAGGAGAAAGGGCTTGAGATCTTTTCCCTTTGCTACGCTCCCTATCATATTAATTCATGTAAGTGTGTCGCAAGTTTACCGAACTGTAAATCATTTGAGTGGAATTAAGTTCATACAGTTCCCAGTAGTCTAAGGAAAGCCCTGCATGCAAGCTGGCTCTCAGGAGTCCTCTGCTCTCGGTGTTGTCTGTTCTGTCTTATCTTTGCCTCCGGCGTGCCCTGTGATCGCATAGTAGAATTTCTGAAAACCGAACTTGCTACTTCTTGCCCCCCTCCCCAAGACTCTTGGTCTCTCATTATCTTCAGGAGCACATGGAAGCCCCTGAGTCCACCCTTACCTCCCATCAGCCCAGCACTGCCCCTGTTGTGTGCACTGGGTGGAGCTGCTCTTTCTTGTTACCCCTCAACCTCTTTCTTTCTCTCCACTTTATTGAGATGCAATTCACACATCATAAGTTCACTGTTTAAAGCATATGGTGCAAGGTCTTTCACATATATACCGTGGTGCTGCTTGGTGATGTGTATGGAGCCTTTCATCATCCCCCAAAGAAACTCCAGAACCATTAGCTGTTACTACTGCCCCAGGCAACTGTGAATTTCTCTGCCTCTAAGGCTGTCCCGTTTCATGTAAATATAGCCCACCATCTTTTGTTGCTGGCTTTTTGCATTTAGCAAAATGTGTTCATCTTTCCAATTGAAAACTAACGCTGGAGCTGGGCATAGTCGTCCACGATGGTGATCCCAGCATTCAAAGCTGAAGCAGGGATTGGTGCCAGCATGCACTGTATAGCAAGACCTGTTTCTAAAACCAACAACAACAACAACAAAAATCCTCAAATTTCAAAATATAGGGAAGAATAAAGGAGAAAGTGTGCTAAGGCTTTCCACTGGGGAAGAGAGACTAGGGGAATGTTATGTGCGCATAGCCCCTGAAAGCCTGTGACAGCCATGGGAGAACTGGGGTCCAAGTGTATTATTTGAGACATAGGTTCTTTTTTGTTTTGTTTTGTTTTGTTTTGTTTGGTTTTGAGCCAGGGTTTCTCTGTGTAGCCCTGGCTGTCCTGGAACTTCCACTGTATACCAGGCTGGCCTCAAACTCACAGAGATCCACCTGCCTCTGCCTCCTTGAGTGCTGGGATTAACGGCGTGTGCCACCACCATCTATCTGGTGCAGGTTCTTTTTTTAAATTCTTTATTTTATTATTTCACATCTTGACCACAGTTTCCCCCACTCTCCCAGCATTTCTAGTCTGAAAAGGGCAGGCTTCCCATGGCTATCAACCAAACATGGCATATCAAGTTGCAGTAAGCTCCTCTCATATTAAGACTTGACAAGGCAACCCAGTATGAGGAATAGGGTCCCAGAAGCTGGCAACAGTCAGAGACAACTGCTTACCACCCTTCTTGGTCCTAAAAGAAGACCAAGCTGCACAACTGTCACATATATGCATAGGGCTTAGATCAGTCCCATGCAGGCTCCCTGGTTGTTGGTTCAGTCTCTATGAGTCCATATAAGCCAAGATTAGTTGATTCTGTGGGTTTTTATGGTGTACTTGACCCTTCTGGTTCCTACAATCCTTCATCCCCCTCTTCTGCAGGCTTCCTTGAGCTCTGCCTATTGTTTGTCTGTGGCTCTGCATCTGTTTCCAGCAGTTGTTGGGTGAAGTTTCTCTGACAACATTGGCCTAGGCACCAATCTATGAGTATAGCAGAATATCATTAGGAATCGTTTATTGACTTTTTGCCATCATGTTTGGTTCTATCCTGAGTTTCTGGGTACTGGTACTCCAGGCAGTGTCAGGGGTGGGCTCCCTCTAGTGGCATCGGCATGGGTCCCAAGTTGACCACTCTTACAATTTCTGTGACACCTTTACCCCAACACATCTTATACTTTTGGTTGTGAGCCTGGCCTTTAACAGCTGAGCCATCTCTCCAGCCCACCCCAACACATCT